AAAAAAAAAAGAAAAAGAAAATTGGAGGGAGAGATTGAAGTTCAGCAGCCATCGTGAGGCAATGGTGCTGGGATGGGACACCAGGGCCTAGTGGCAGTGGTGACTGAGCTGGAAGATACACTGGTTGGCGTTGGGAGGGACCGCTCTCTCTCTGCCTCCCTTTCCATCTCTCCCTCTCCCTCTCCCTCCTTCTCTCTCCCTCTCTCTCCTCTCTCCTCTTTCTCTCCCTCCCTCTCTCTTCTCTCTCTCTTCCTCTTCCTGACCCTCTTCCTCTCTCTCCTTTTCCTCTCCCTTTCTTTCTCTCTCTTTCCCTCTCCCCCTTCCTCTCCCTCCCTCTCTCTCCCTCTCTCTCCTCTTTCTCTCCCTCTCTCTCTCCCTCTCTTCTCTCTCCTCTTTCTCTCCCTTTCTCTCTCCCTCTCTCTTCTCTCTCTCTCCCTCTTCCTGTCCCTGTCCCTCCCTCTCTCTTCTCTCTCTCCCTCTTCCTGTCACTCTCCCTCTCTCTCTCTCCTCTTTCTCTCCCTTTCTCTCTCCCTCTCTCCCTCTCCCTCCCTCTCTCTCCCTGGCACTGTACCATTTGAGTCATAGTTCCACTTCCTGCTTTTTGGTGATTAATAGGCGATAGGAGTCTTACAGACTTTCCTGCCCAGTCTGACTTTGAACTACAACTCTAAGATTTCAGCCTGCCAAGTAACTAAAATGACAGGTGTGACTGGGTTTTGATTGCCTTTAAGAGAGAAAATTTGCAATTGATAAGACTTTCATGTCACTGGATACAGAGAGATAAAAAGGAGGAAAATCTCTAATTGTTGGCATCTCTTACTGGATAAAGCTTAAGACTAAGCCCATAAAAATGCTCAGAAATAGTCCTATAAGATGCACGTCTTCATACCATTATCTGGTTCTGAATTTGATGTAATTTTACTTCCAACTTCCAGCTTCCTCCTATGAACCAGACCTCTCTAAGCTCTTACCCAGCCTCTTGCTAATTTCTACTCTGCAGGGATTCTCTTAATATTTCCAAGTTCTTTGCAGACAGAAAACCAAAAAGCAACTTACTTTTCCAACACATGTTTGTCTATGAAAATATTTGTTAGCATGGAACTTAAAAGAAGTGTGAGAATAATGTGGCATGACCAAGAAGAAAGAAGAAAAAGTATCAGGCTTACCAATGCATGAATACAAGGTTTCTTTTCAATACAAGCCACACAGAGCAAGAATAGCATTGTTCATAGTGCTTCAGGTCACCTCGACCTTATTCCATTTTTAACTGCATCATAAACACAGTTTTTCTAGGCTACAGAAAGAAATGTCAGCCTCAGTGTGTTTAAAAAATGATTAAGTGGGTGACATTGATCAAAGTGCATTGTACTCATAAACTGACATGTTGCACTGAAACCCTTTTGTACAACTACTCAAAGATAATTAAAAAAATCTCTTAATGATCAAGCTGGATGCTAGTGCTGCTGGCTTATGCCTGGTCTTTTAGCTACCTAGAAGGCTAAGATGTAAGGATCATGGCTCAAAGCTCAGCCTGGGGATGAGACTCTAATTAACCACCATAAAAGCTAGAGGTGGAGCTGTGGCTCATTAAGAAGAAAAATCTAAGGGGCAGCAATCAGCTGTGTTCAAGACGCAGTATCAACATACACACACACACACACACACACACACACACACACACAGAAAGAGAAGAAGATCAAGAAAGATGATCAACACAGAATAAACAAAATCATTTGTTTCTGTAGGCTGAACTCTGTACAAAGATCATGGATATTACATATATATTATATTTTTAAGAATTTTAAGTGAACTATCAGGGCTATACATGGATTTTGAAAATGATTTTAAGTGTCAAAAATCTGGGAAGCATATCATATGATATTGTGAATTCCACATGGTTACTGAGCAGCTTTTGTAAAAGAAGATTAGCAGAACAGCTCATTGGTCAAATTGGCCTCATTACCTCTTATGCATCTGTGAACCAAGAACAGTTTTGAAAATTTAAAATCGTCAGGGGAGGGGCTGGGAAGGTGGCTCCGTGATAGAGTGCTCGCCTCACATGCATGAGGCCCTGATTGGATTCCTCAGCACCCCACAAGCAGATAAAGCTGGAAGTGGCGCTGTGGCTCCAGTGGTTGAGCGCTAGCCTTGAGCTGAAGAGCTGAGGGACAGAGCCCAGGTTCAGAGTTCAAGCCCCACAACCAAAAAAAAAAATCTTTGGGGGAATGATATATAACAGTTCTTTAGAGTTCAAATGTCAATGTCTATAAATAAAGTTTTATTGGAACACAGCTTACTCATGCATTTTATATTGGTTGGGTTCACCATAGGAGAGCTGAGTAACTATAACAGAGACTTTCCATCCCACAAAACCTGAGGTATTTATGAAAATCTGGTTCTTCCCAGAAAATATTTGCTGGTCCTTGTTTTAAGACCTATCATCTAAAGAAAGACAAGGATGGAGAGTTCCTGTGTGAGTAAACACCGTGTTTTAAATGTACACACACATAGAAACATAGTAAACACAATTCTTTCTAGGAACCTTATTAAATAGAATAAAACAACTGGCATACTGTTTCTGTATTTTGGATGTTTATTCTCCCACCCTATATCAGAGGATCATGGCAATCAAGAACATGGGTGTTAAACACACACACACACACAACATAGGTAATAAGGTCATTCGTATTACTTGAGTCTTCATTAGCTCTCTGTAGCCTGCAGTTACAGACCCAGCCTCTTGTAGAACTTAGGTTTCCTATAAAAATAGGAATAACAAAACCAATTCCGGAGAGTTGTGGTTGACTATGAAGTAGGTAATTGAGACAACTTTTTAAACAGGAGTTTTTGAGCTAAGTACCTGATACCCAGCAGGTATAAACGAAATCTTACTCTGATCATCACCATCACCACCATCACTTTTTGGAATTCTTCTCCTTCTCCTGCTTAGCACTTTTGCTTTAACAAGGAGGTCCAGGAGATTCTCCATCTACAGTTTTATGTAACCAGAAGCGACCTTCCTTTTGTAATACTTTGAGTCTCCAGTTATATGAATGTAAGAGCACATTTGATGGGAGAGTGAAGAAAGAATTTAGGAAGTCCAGAAACAGCACATCCTAGTGCTAACAAATGGGTTACAGCTTGTGAGAGATACACTGGGATCGTGTTTCAAGGCTAGACTCTTGAACATTTTGCTTCAGAGAGTTCACACTTCTTTGACGGGTTGTGGATGAATGCTACCTGGATTTAGGAGCTAACATTTTATTTTTTATTTTTTTTAAAGAGTGGATGAAGAGGTGGTTTTGTTTTTTGTTTTTTTTTTGGTCGTATCCCATTTTATGTTAGGCGTAAGTGGTCATTTTCCTTTTATTATTTCCTACCAGAACAGCTCTTAGGAAAGCATGAGGGTGTGATTCTTGAAATGCACTACGCTCTGTGCTGGATCCTCAGCCACCTGCCTCCCGCCTGAGCTTGCTCGGCCCTTGGGCTCATTACACAGAGGAGTCGGCCAAGGCCCGTAGGGCAGACTTTTGGTTCCTAGGCAGCAGTACTGCATAGCCTTTCTTTCCTGTTTTGAAACAGGTCCCGAGCATCCTCCGCAGAGACTCTTCAGCAAACCAGGGCCACTCTGGAAATGACGAAGAGCTCTCTGTACTTGTTCCTCAGAAATCTCTTTCTGAACCCCGCTTAAAGGGGAGAGAACATCCCTCTCATCAAAGCTGTACCACAGCCTGATCTCCCCACCAAACTGGCTAAAGAAACATCAAGGTAGGACAAGGTTCCACCATGAAGCTTAGAGAAAGAATTCCTCTAGGCTCTCTTCCCTCACTTTTAAAATCATATGGAAGAAGTTTTACAAGTCTTATTTTTACTTGTTGCACTTTCTATCTTGACACAGTGCTTTGAGAAAAATACCTTTAAATGTCTCTCCTCTCTCTCTCTCTCTCTCTCTCTCTCTCTCTCTCTCTCTCTCTCTCTCTCTCTCTCTCTCTCTCTCTCCCTCTCTCTCGGCTTGAACTCTGGGCCTGGGCACTGTCCCTCAGCTCTTCAGCTCAAGGAGAGTGCTCTACCACTTGAGCCACAGCACCACTTTCAGTTTGCTGGTGGTGACTTGGAGATAAGAGTCTCATGGACTTTCCTGCCTGGGCTGGCTTTGAACCACGATCCTCAGATCTCAGCCTCCTGAGTAACTAGGATTATAGGAGTGAACCACTGGCATCTGGGATTTTTCTCTTTTCTTTTTCTCCTCTCTCTCTCTCTCTCTCTCTCTCTCTCTCTCTCTCTCTCTCTCTCTCTCTCTCTCTCTGCCAATCCTGGGGCTTGAACTCAGGGCCTAGGCACTGTTCTTGATCATTTTTGTGCTTAAGGCTAGTGTTCTACCACTGAAGCCACAGAGCCACCTCTGGATTTTTCTAAGTAGTTTATTGTAGATAAGAGTCTCATGGACTGTCCTGACTGGGCTGGCTTCAAACTTGATCCTCAGCTCTCAGCTTCTTGAGTAGCTAGGATTAATAGGCATGAACCAATGGTGCCTGGCTAATTTCATTCTTTTTAATTTTAATTTTTAGTTTTGTGTCCGTACTGGGACCTGAACACTGGGCCTAGGCACTGTCCTTTATCTTTTTCTGCTTAAGACTCTACCGCTTGAGCCACACCTCTACTTCTGAATTACTTTTTCTAGTAATTAATTGGAGCTTAGAGTCACAGACTTTTCTTGCCTGGGTGGGCTTCCACTGTGGCCCTCAGATCACAGCCTCCTGAGCAACTGGGATTACAAGAGTGAGTCACCAGACTCTGGCTGGATTTCATTATTGTTCCTGAATTATATTTGGGCAGAAACTGTTCATTGACTTTAGCCATTCAGAAGAAGCATACAAGTGGTTACAGTTCTTCTATCTTCTTGTCGGATTTATGGTTAAGACAGACACAAAACTCACACATTAGCCTGGTATGTGGATAAAACCCAAACCCGTTTTGGTGGGGAGGGAGAGGTAGGGGCTGGGGTGGGGGTGGGGGAGGGAGTGGGGGGGGGCCCTGTTCACGAGTAGGAGTAACTCTCATCATCATATTCCAGCTCGCCCTCCTCCTCGTCATCCAGCAGCCCATACTTAAACTTCCGGTAGACAGTGCCATCTTGGCCCATGTAGACAATGTCATCTTTGTCATCCTCATCATAGTCCCGGTCCCTGTACTCGATCACCTGATCTTCAAAGCTGGTGCTCTGGAGATAGCTGCTCTTGTAGGAAGAGTGAGGCTGGCTAGGGTTAGACAGCTTTTCATAGCCTGCCTTTTCCACCGGCTGGACTCGGCTCCAGGGCTTCTTCCAGATAACCACCGAGGCCCCCAGCAGGAGCAGCAGCATGAGGGAGGAGGTGACCAGCAGGGCCGTCTTGGAACGTTCAGCCGCAGGCCTGGCCTTCCCTGCTGGCAGGATGCACTCCTCTGATGGAAGGGGTCCCAAGGGCAGCGGGGAGGGAGGGAGGGAGAGAGGAAGACACAGATTGGGATCAGTCACTTCTGAGGTAAAGAACTTCACTTCTGCTTTTTGTACCTCACATAGTAGAGTCTACTATCTCTGGTTTTCTAAAGTGGTTCAGCACTGTCTAAAACTGTGCTATATTCTTCCATGAGAGTCCCAGTCTAAGACTGATAAAATCGAAAATCCTAGGAAGAAGGTGGGTTTGAGATTCGAAGGGAGTCCTTGCAGTTCTGTAACTCATGGGTCAGTTTGCAAGTGCCCACTTATCAACTGCTTTTTCTTCCTATTCACATCCTGAGAAAATAGTTAAACTTGGGCCTTGCTTTATCTACACACACACACACACACACACACACACACACACACACACACATATGCATTTGTCCAGGACCAGGACTCAGACTCAGTATCTGAAGCTTTTGTTCATTGGCTGGTGCTCGAATACTAGAGCCACAGCTCCAACCCTGCTTCTGCTGTGTGTGTGTGTGTGTGTGTGTGTGTGTGTGTGTGTGTGTGTGTGTGTGTGTGTGTAGTTTGAAGTCAGGGTCTGGATGCTATTCCCCAGCTTTTGTGCTCAAGTCTAGCGCTCTACCACTTGAGCCAGAGCTCCACATCCTGCTCTTTTATTACTTTATTAGAGATAAGAGTCTCAAGGTCTTCCCTGCCTCAGATTTCAGCCCCCTGAATAGCTAGGATTAGAGGTGTGAGCCACTGGCTCCTGGCTGCTTTAGCTGGTTTTTACATGCAACCCTGAGCTTTTCTAAGATTGAGGCTTTAGAGTTACTCTTAAGCCTGACCCAAATAACTGTTCCATCCTCTAAGGACAGGAGAGACTAGTTAATAAAAACCTACTGACGTTCGCAGTCATGTGAGGCTTTAGACATTATTCAGGCTAACCTACTCTTTGACAGTTGAAGAAACTAAGGCCTATGGAGAGGATAGGAGGTGTCTCTTTGGCAGAGACAAGATCTGATTTGTGGAACAACTGGAAATCCCAATCTATCATCCCTAACTCCATTTAGCAACCTAGAGACACAAGGACAAAATGTTCTGACAATTGTACATTGGTTTCTTCGAGTTTTATGACCCTCCCTGGCAGGAAAGAGAGTACTGACCATGTTGAAATGCTGATTGCTACCTGTAGTGATGGGGATTTCTTCAATCATAATGGACAGTTTTTTTTCTGTTCTTATCCATTCAACCTCTGCTTCAGTGCTGTGATTGAGGACATGGAGAAACTAAGCCGTGCCACCGAAGGATTAAACCGTAACTTGAGTAAGGAGCTCATTTTTCTTACTTTGCGCTCGTTCATTTTGGTGGTGCAACTTGGGAAATTGATCCCCTTTTATTTCCTTGTATGTCTGTTTCCTTTTCTTTAACTCACCACACAGGAGTACAAAAGAAAGAACTAGAGGGGGAAAAAAAAAACCCTAGCAGGCCAGACTGGCTGTGCAAATATATGGTAAGTTTTCTACAAATATTCGTTGAAGCAGTTGGATTTGCCACAGGAGTCTTTGATAAGGATTCTCGGGGTGTTCTACGTACTAGCTTAATGGATATAATCTTTTTGCCAGGTAGGTTGATTTTTGACCTTTAGGTCTAATTCTTAAGTGCTAAACATTCTCCCCCTCTGCTGTCTGTCAGGCTGGGGCTTGAACCCAGGATCTCATATATGCTAGACGAAGACTAACACTGAGCTACATATGTCCTAGTGATTCTCTTTTTAATGTAATTTTTTATTGTTGTTATAAAGGTGATGAACAAAGGGGTTAGTTACATAAATTAGGTAAAGAGTACATTTCTTTTTGGACAATATCACCCCTTCCCCTGCTTCTCTCTCCCTCATTATTGCTATTTCTACACACTTTTTTTTTCCAGTTTGATTCTAATGGTGATTATCATGGGATTTTGCTCCTTACATTACTGAAGTTCCTTCTCTATAGTAACAGTGCTGTCATTATTGCATTCATCAATACTAATATTAGCACAGAATTTTCCCTGAAGGAATTGTTAAGGCCCTACAGGGATAGATGAGCAATAAGAGTGTGGTACTCTGATATAAATACTGCCCGAAGTAGGAGAATCAATACGAGACCTTTCAAGGGTATTTCACTGAGAAGGGTGCCGTTGATTGATTGATTATTCCTCCTCTTGCACTGCAAAATCAGGGTCAGCCTTGCTACCTTGTGTCCTTGAAGGAACAGATCACCTCAGTTGGGAAGAAGTGACCGAGCAAGAGAGCTGGTAAGCATCAGCTGGATGACGCTGGGCGACCGCCCCGCCTCAAGCATGTTTGAGTTTGTCTAGAAAGATTACCTGAGGAGTTCTTTGTTGGAACAGATTTTCAGAAACTTAGCACCCCATATGCACACGCTTCTGAATTTAAGCCATTGATAAAATGAGAGTCATTATTCTTAGAGGACACAGCATAGACGCTAAGCCATTAGACCTTGAAGGTGTGTGTGTGTGTGTGTGTGTGTGTGTGTGTGTATGTGTGTGTGTGTGTGTCTGTGTGTGTCTGTGTGTGTATGTGTGTATGTATGTGTGTGTATGTGTATATGTGTGTGTCTGTGTGTGTGTCTGTGTGTATGTATGTGTGTGTATGTGTGTATGTGTGTGTATGTGTGTCTCTGTGTGTATGTGTTTGTGTGTATGTGTGTATGTATGTATGTGTGTATGTGTGTGTGTATGTGTGCGTGTGTCTGTGTGTGTCTGTGTGTGTGTCTCTCTGTGTGTATGTGTTTGTGTGTGTGCATGTATGTGTGTGTGTTTGTGTGTGTGTCTGTGTGTGTGTGTGTCTGTGTGTGTATGTGTTTGTGTGTGTATGTATGTATGTGTGTATGTGTGTGTGTGTCTGTGTGTGTGTATGTGTTTGTGTGTGTATGTGTATGTGTTTGTGTGTGTGTGTGTTTGTGTGTGTGTGTGTGTCTGTGTGTGTCTGTGTGTGTGTGTATGTGTGTGTGTGTGTCTGTGTGTGTGTCTGTGTGTGTATGTGTGTGTATGTGTTTGTGTGTATGTGTGTATGTGTTTGTGTGTGTGTGTGTGTATGTTTGTGTGTGTGTGTGTGTCTGTGTCTGTGTGTCTGTGTGTCTGTGAAGAGCTGGGGAACCAGCACAGGGGTGGTGGCAGAGAGTTGAAGAAGGAGTTAGTTTTGGGAAAGATGGTATTTGGAACCTAATTGAAGAGGATGACTAAAACTTTTAAAATGGCTGGTGGCAGTTATGGGTCTTTCTTTCTTTCTTTTTTTTTTAACTTACACAGGGTTATATTCCCACAAATATGACATCATTTTTATCAGGCAATGATTCATGTAGAATCCAAGGAAATGGTCTCTCTCTCTCTGTACTAGAGAATAAAATTTAAGAATGTGCTTTTCACAAGTGTTTTTTTCTTTGTTGTTGCTGTTGCTTTCTTTTCTTTCTGTCTTGTGTGTTCATCTATCTGTCTTTGGGAGGGTAAAGGGGGCACAGAAATGGAGGGACAAAGGGTAGACAGATGCAGCAGTGGTATTTACTAGGCTTTCCATTGAAAATGAACTATATAACTTGTGGGTGGGGATGGGAGGGAAAAACAGAGAGAGCTAGGGAAGGGGTGACATTGTCCAAAAAGAAATGTGTTCTTTACCTGACTTATGTAACTGTAAGTTCTCTGTATATCACCTTTGTAATAACAAATAAAAAAAAGATTGTGTTTTTCAGCCAGATGCTGGCGGCTCATACCTATAATCCTAGCTACTTAGGAGGGTGGGATATGAGGACTGTGGTTTGAAGCCTGCCTGGGTGAGAAAAGTTGGTCAGACTCCAATTAACCACAAAAAGCCAGAAGGGAAGCTCAAGTGGTAATGCACTAGACTTGAGCAACAAAAGCTCAGGAACAGCAAGCATCTAGTCCCTGAGTTCAAGCTCTCTCTCTCTCTCTCTCTGTCTCTCTCTCTGTCTCTCTCTCTCTCTCTCTCTCTCTCACACACACACACACACACACTTTTTTTCTTAGCCTTCAGTGGAAATTCATTCTTCAATTCTTTTCCTCTCTAATACAAGGAAAAGACTTGGGTTTGCTTCTATAGAAAGATAAATATTGGCTTCACCTTCATTGATCCTACTTCTTTTTCTTTCTTCCTCCAGGGGGGAAGAATAAAAGAGGAATAAAGTAAATTTGTGACGGTCACGTTCTATGCTTGAGGGGTGGCAGTAGAGAGGACGTGAGCTTTGCTGTAGGACAGACCCAGACGCTAAATTACACAGGGACTTCTTAACACGGAGGTGGACTTGGCTGCAGGAATCCAGCTCTGAGCCTCAGTCTCTTCTGCAAAATGGGATGTACTTATGTTCCAGTCTGAATGCTCAAGTGCTGGAATTTGGTTTCTAGTTGCTGGAACTAGAAAATAGGAAGTGAGTTCCTCACTGGGGGGGAGTGACACCGGGGGCGGGCCCTGTTCCCTGTCCATCTGCTTCCATCCAGGATGCTCTGTCTCACTGGTCCAGAAACAATGGAATCAAAAGCTCTGAACGCATCAGCCCAGACAACCCTTTCCTCCTCTAACATTCCTCTCCGGTAGTCATTATATCAACAAGGACCTAACACACTGGCCAACTGGGGTGACGGTCTGAGGTTTCTAGTAGGCACTCAGCTGACAGGTAGCCACATGGAGTCTCCTGAGCTTTCTGTCCTCTTTCGCCCGCTGCGACATTGCTCCTGCTCTGCCCCTCCCCGAGCCTCACCCACCCGTGGTCTCCTGGCAGTCGCAGCAGTCCTGGGGGTCAGTGGCAGCGCTGCAGCAGCCGAGGCAGCGGCTGTGGTCCAGGTGCAGCAGCAGGCCGGCGGGGCACCCGGTGCAGTTCCTGGGGCCGGGCCCCTTGCACTCCATGCAGCTCGCGTGGCAGGCTTCACAACTGAAATTTTCTCCCTGTGAACAACGGTCAGGAAGAACTTTGGAGGGATGATCAAGGCACTGGAGTTTCCAAGTGGGGATTTATCTTGTCTCTGGAACCCAGGAGGCAGGTGGGGCAGGACAGGGGAAAGATGGCATATCGGGGGGTCCCTTAAACTGTGCTGGGTGAAAGACAGAGCCAACCGTGTGCAACTGAGTTTCAGAAACACTGCTGGACTCTGACCTTTAAGATCCGCTAGAGACCAGGCTTCCAGAATTGCTTTGCTAATGAGCGGAGAGCTCCCGTGCTCAGGGATGGTTCAGGTCGGTCACTGGTTTTGCCTGCTCCACTCTAGATAAGTTTTCATTTTTGATCTTTTATTTCGAAGTCAGTTCCTAATTTCTGTGTGAAATTGAGGAGCCTCGTCCACACTGATGGATCACTCACCACCAGCCCAGTGGCAATGGACTCGTTAAGCTCTCGTAGGTGATGTAATTTCCTGCTCTTGTCACCAGCACACAGGTGGCAGGTCAGTTTCTATTTTCTACTGATCTAGCACTGTAGTTCCTCTTACCCAGCATCCCTCGCTCATTTACGCTAGCTACCTGTTGCAGCCTTTGGGGTTACTAGATTCTCGTGGACTGGAAAAGGAATGATATAAATGGTGACTGTAGTTAAAGCAGTTTAGACCAGAGATGTAAACGATTAAAAAAAAAAAGCTTCTCAATGAATTGCTTCTTGTCAGGGGCTGGAAATATGGGCAGGGAAGATACCTTCTAATGTACTCCTGTAACTTTCAAAGTATGGTAAAACAGAAGAAAGAATAGAGTCAAGGATCATAGCTCATTGTGAAAGTACGTGTCTAGTATGTGAGAAGCCATGTTTGATACCTTAGTGCCCCAAACAAAAGACAGATAGATTGGGAGGGAGGGAGGGAGGAAGAGAGGGAGAGAGAGAGACAGACAGACAGAGAGACAGAGAGAGGGAGAAAGAGAGAATCAAACACACAGAGACAAAGAAAGAGAGGAGAGATTTTTAAAAGATGAGAGATGGAAATTGCCTTTGGTGAGGAACTCATCATATTTTCGACGCTGTTGAACTGTTTTCTCCATTGTTTGTATATCATCAGATCCCCAGAGTTCAGTTTGAACTTTATCATACTACTCATGTGATCTTTAGCAAATTATTTAACCTCACTGAGCCTCAGTTACTCCAAACTGTAATTTAAAGAGAGCTTAAATGTGAATAAGCTAGTTTGCTTTAATTTCACCATGGAGACATTTAGGGTTTCTTTCTTTCTTTCTTTCTTTCTTTCTTTCTTTCTTTCTTTCTTTCTTTCTTTCTTTCTTTCTTTCTTTCTTTCTTTCTTTCTTTCTTTCTTTCTTTCTTTCTTTCTTTCTTTCTTTCATGAGGAATGAGTAGAAGTTGGGTGTGATGGAACATGAAAAGCCAGCCTGGGTACCATAGAGTAACCCTACCTCAACAAAAACAAACAAACAAGCAAAAGAGACACTGATAGACTCAGAAAACTTATGGTATCTATTCAAGCAAATAAGTTCTAAGTATATTGTAAAGAAGAGATGGAGAAAAATGAAAGATCAAAATCAACGTGTTTCTCCTATATGTACTCAGTCAGAGGTTTCCAGCTACAGAACCAAGAGGAAGAGAGAAGACAGCTTTTATTTCCAACACAGATAGAAACTGCTAGCATCCTAGACAACCATCACCAGGCTCCTTGGGGGCCCTTAGAACATCCCCATTGTCTATCTTAGATTGACTCTGTTCCTGTCCTTCAAGGGAAGGCCGCAGGCAGGCAGCATCATTCCTTCCTGATGTAAGAGAAGATGATTTTAAGGCATTAAACTGAAGTTTTAGTGAGGGTGGGAATTCAGGTGTTTTTGACGCTCCAGGACACTATGGGAACAGAGTTGATATTTTTCTCTGGGAGGGGGGAAGGCGCCCAGCTCAGCCCTCAGTACCTCTCCCATGCGGTATTCCCCCAGCAAACAGTCCGAATTGCAGATTCCTCCCATGAGGTGGTAACTCCACACGCAAGACACGCAATCCGATGCTCGCGTTCCTGAAAGAAAAAAAAAAGGAAATTTCCAAGCTATGAAACAGACCTCAGCGTTCAGCCTCTGTCTTGGTAGGATCCAGATCCCTTAGAGAAAAGGAGTATGTCAAGTAACTTGAAGCAGATGCGTAAATTGAAGATTTGGAAACAAAAAGATGAAGGTCTGTAAGACAGAGTGGAGTCCTGCAAATTATCCAATTAATCTGATCTGTGTCGACTCTGAGTGTGGAATTGAGGATTCAGGGAAGTCATATCTTGTATTAGAGCAGGAGACAGAAATCAGAGGGCAGTTGCAGAACGTGTGTTTGTCCTGCTTGTTGCTGAGCTGGAGTGGGACCTGGCAGGCTGCTTTGGAGGCTGTGCAGCTCAGGGCAGACGAGTCGCGAGCACACTGTCCTTCCTGAGACAGAGCACTGCACTTGGGATTTGAAGTTTGAGGGAGAAAAAGATTTTGGAGATCATTTTATCTGTGGCTCTTTAATTTTGGGAGTGATGATGGTGATGGTGGTTATCATAGATTCTTCTGAAACTCTTCAGAACTATAAAGCATTTTCTCAGAAATTTGACATCCTATGTATTGGTATGTGTGTGTATTTGTTAAATTTAATATATTATTATTATATTACAATAACATATTACATAAAGTTTATATAATATGTACAATATATAGTTAATATAGAATTATTATATAGTATAATAGGTAATATATAGTGTATATATAAAAATATTGCAAAGTCACCCATCCAAGTTTACCTAAGTAATAAGTCAAGCTTCACATTCAGGTTCATTGACTCACAGGCGCTGGGCGCTGTCCCTCAGCTCTTCAGCTCAAGGCTAGCGCTCTACCACTTGAGCCACAGTGCCACTTCCAGCATTTTTTTTTTTTCTGCTTATGTGGTGCTGAGGAATTGAACCCAGGGCCTCATGCATGCAAGGCAAGCGCTCTACCACTGAGCTACCTTCCCAGCCCGAGGGGGTAGTTTCTGGAAGGAATTTGGAGTCAGAAGACTTGAACTCTAGTTCATTTTATGTGGAAGGCCCTGGCATTTTCACTGAAAATTTCCAAACAGGGGAATGAGAGCAATGGGAATGGCTGTGGAGTTGTGAGTTGTCCTGATGGAAGTCTTTCCCTATGCAGGGTGCTTAGTCACACTTCACAATCAAGAGTCTCACAGGCTTTCCTGTGTGGCTGGCTTTGAACCGTGGTCCTCAGATCTCAGCCTCCTGAGAAACTAGGGTTACAAGAGTGAGCCACCAGTGCTTGGATGGATTACTTCTTTTTTTGTGTGTGTGGGGGGGGGGCATCAAAAGTCAGTGAAACACAATTTAATTGGCAAATTGCTTATTTAGGCTGCCAAATTCTTCCTGGTTCATTTTCTATATGTTTTCATATGGGTTTATCATTTAGATCTAACTTCCAGTTCAGTTGTAGGGCCTGAACTCTGGGCCTGGGCGCTGTCCCTCAGCTCTTCAGCTCAAGGTGAGCGCTCTACCACTTGAGCCACAGCACCACTTCCGGCTTTTTCTGCTTACGTGGTGCTGAGGAATCGAACCCAGGGCCTCATGTGTGCAAGGCAAGCGCTCTACCACTGAGCCACCTTCCCAGCCCTCTCCTGATTCTTTTCACCATCCTCACTCCTTAGCCCAACACAAGAACTCCATCCCTTATGTCTAGCCTAAGGTGGGAGGGAACTCGTATTCATCTTGTTATATAGCAAGGCATAGAACAAATGAGCAAATCTGAATTTTAGGAAGCTCATTCTGGCATTCAGGTGCAGGATGCCCTGGGACAGGGAGCAAGGGGTTGAGGTGACCTGCTGGCTACTTCAACAGATCTGATAGATGCTGAGTCCAGAAAATGGAGGGAAGGGAGAACCGGAGAGATCTGGTTCTAGCCATGCACAGCACTGGGGTCTACAAACAGGTTGGGCAGAGGAGAGTCAAGGATAACTGTGAGGTTTTGCAGTAGTGGGTGGGTGGGGGCTTAGAGTGGAAGCCAGTAACACTGATGTTAGGCTCCGTGGGAGAGACAGGGGAGTCTGTGGGAAAGTGAGATGGAGCGTGGGCGAAGGTGAGGCAAAGGTCTTTGGGAAGCCTGGCGTGGATGGCAGTGGACCGACTCTCGTGGGCAGGTACAGCCGGAGAAGACAGAGCTGCTGAGCAGCTCTGAGCCGCTGAGGGGGGCGGGGGAGGGGGAGAGGGAGAAGCAGGGAGGAAAGCTTTCCATTTCCCACCAGCGCAACGCCAGCCCACGGAGCCCCCCTGCCCTCTCACCTTTGCATTCATTGCAAGTCGGATGGCATCTCTCACAGGTCTGAGTGCGTGGCTCTGCGTGGTAATGCTGGGGGCAGGTGCGGTAACACTGCCCCTTGGAGCGGAGGAGGAAGAAATACTTGTCACACGACAGACAGTCTGTGGGCTGCGGGCCCCCGCAGGTCTTGCATCTCTTGTCGCATTTCTTACAATGACCACTGGAGTTTTCTGCATAATATCTGCAACCCAGAAGGAGGCAAAATGGAAGACAGACATCTCTTACTGGTTCCAAAGCCATGGATGCTCAAGACCCTTAGGCAAAAGGGTGAGCATCTCACATCGCTTCTGCACACCCTCCTCTTGGTACTGATTACCTAGACTATCGGATGCAGTGGAAATGTCACGCGAATATTTGGGACACTGCATCGTTTAGGGAATAATGACAGTGACATAGTCTGTACATGTTCAATACAGGTGCGTTTTCCTCCCTAAATGTTTTCAATCTGTGATTCCCAGGCGAAACCCAAGGAGTTGGGAATGCTGACTATACAATCTTTGCCTGTAAGTTGGGTGTAGTGTAAAATCGTGGCTATCTAGGGAAGATCGGTGGACAAGCTAGGGGCGTAGGGCTCTTTCTTTACCCTTTACCCATTAAATGCACTGCCAAGACTCGAAGGAATAATGACTCTGCCTTCTTACCTGGGCCTTGGGCATTATGGCCCTGCCTGCCTTACTCTTTGTGAGGCTTATGTTGGGTAGCAGCTGTGAAAAGACCTAGCCATCACCACATGCAGTAACAGCTCGATGACTGCTACCACTGCCTTTTCTACAAAGTTGAGCCTTAATCTGTGTTGAATGGGATCTGGGGATGGAAGATGTTATAACTATTCTGTTCTATTCTGTTCTGTTCTGTTCTGTTCTGTTCTGTTCAATTTGATTTGATTTTTCCCCTTCCTCTCTCCCTCCCTCCCTCCCTTCCCCCTCCCCCCCTCCCTCCCTCCCTCCCTTTCTTCTTCCTTCCCTTCCTCCCTCCCCTTCCTTCCTTCCTTCCTTCTTTCCTTCCTTCCCTCCTTCCTTCCTGTATGTCTGCCTGCCTGCCTGCCTTCCTGTCTGTCTTTCTTCTTCTCTCCCTCCTTTCTTTCTGTCTTCTTTCTTCTTCCTTCTACCCACCTACCCTCCCTCCTTCCCTCCCACTTTCTCTCTCTCTCTTTCTCTTTCTTTCTTTCTTTCTTTCTTTCTTTCTTTCTTTCTTTCTTTCTTTCTTTCTTTCTTTCTTTCTTTCTTTCTTTCTTTCTTTCTTTCTTTCTTTCTTTCTTTCTTTCTTTCCTTCCTTCCTTCCTTCTTCCCTTTGACAGAGTTTCAACTATATATCCAGACATACATTCACCATGTACCCCAGATGGCCTCAAATGCTTTATCTTTTTGTTTCAGCCTCCTAAGTGCTGGGATTATAAGCATACACAACTGCTTCCTCTTTCAGTGTGTTTCAATGTACCCCTGAGTGGTTCTAACTTCCATTTTAAAAAGCATCTTGAAACAGGGGGTGACATGAGTGAGGTTAGTCTTTATGAAATACATATAAAGTGCTTTGTAATGGTTGTTGGGAGTAAAAACAAATCACCATTTATGAAATTGCTGCTATTAGCCTCCGTGTTCGGGGGATTTCATAGACACAATTGCAGTTGGGTGGAGTGTACTTATTTCTATGAGGCAATCTGAAGACTGAAGTATTTGAGACATAATAGAATGAAAAGAAAGCATCAATCATGAAGTGAGTATTTGGCTCAGACCACAGATGACTCAAGGGAAAGGAAGCCACAGGAACAAGAGAGACTCATACACAGCAGAAGGAGCCGGGGCTGGGGTCAGACGCCCCAGACTTTCAGGCTGCAGTCTATCTTGGGTTAGTTGTTATAGGACACTGGGCAAGTCCCTTTACTGCGCTGAACTGGTTTTCTTATCTGTAAGGTGGAGAGACTAATCAACCTCAAGAGATTGTTCTGGAATCAAATCAAAGTGCACAGATACACTATGAGTAGAAATGCTTTACAAACTCTGAGTCAGCATACAATTATTTTAAATGACATTACGCTATTGTAACTATACAGATGAAAAGCATCTATAGAATTATATAGGGGAGGACAGAAAGGTTATTATTTCAAGGTATGTCTTACAAGTTATCAGCTGGGTGCCAGTGGCTCACACCTGTAGTCTTAGCTACTCAGGAGGCTGCGATCTGACCATTGCAGTTTGAAGCCATCCTGGGTAGAAAGTCTGTGAGACTTTTATCTCCAATTAACCACCCAAAAGTCAGAAGTAGAGCTGGGGCTCAGTAGTCAAGCACCAGCCTTGAGTGAAAAAGCTAAGGGACAGCACTCAGGCCCTGAATTTCGTGAAGCCCCAGTACCAGTACACACACACACACACACACACACACACACACACACACACACACACACACAATTATCAAAGAGTGATGCTAAAAGAATGACAATGCAGAGCTTGCTAGAACATATAGGAGAAAGAATAGTCTACCCAACTGCTTACTGGGAGGTCCGTGGGGTCCCACAAGCCTCAAAGCCTTGCAGAATCCCATGCACAAGCACAGACAGCTCCTTGACTCTTAAAGAACATTCTGTGAAGTTAAATCTCCAGATGTGTGTTGGGACAGAGTGCAGAAGGTTATATCCCCGCTTGTCCAAAGCAAAGAGATGCACCACAGGGGTCAACGCCCAACATGTGGACACCGACTCTACGAGGAATGCACCTCCACCTGCACTTAACCAGTCCTTCCCCTCCTCTTTCCGTCTCCTTAGGGTCGCTGCATACACTGGGAGACAATCGGTTCCTTAGCTCAAACCATAGCATTACATCTGTGTGTGTGTGTGTGTGTGTGTGTTTGAGAGGGTCTCAATGACTGGATCTGGGGAAGATGGAAGATCTACACATGGGATCCAGATCTTTTCAAATACTGTTCAGTGTGAAGCTGGGGACTTGGCCGGGCAGCCCCTTCCCACCCCATCTAGCAGGATCCTCCTCCACTGATCTGTGTGGCCGGGGTTTTGGATTGCAGCTAATGTGCGGGACTCTGTGTAGAGTGTTAGAGTAGCATGTGTGAAAAATAAGACATTCCCTCCCCGCCCCCGGAGCTTATAATAAGGATAAGCTCTGGAAAGTCAAAGTATTTGTCTTAATTCACCAGTGCTAGGACTTGAACTCAGGGCTTGGGTGCCATCCGTTAGCATTTTTAGCTCAAGGATGTCACTCTATCCCTTGAGCCACAGCTCCTTCCACTTCTGGCTTTTTTGGTGGTTAATTGGAGATAAGAATCTCAAGTATTTTCCTGCTCGAGCTGGCTTTAAATCATGTTCCTCACATCTCAACCTCCTGATTGGCTAGAGTTACAGGTGGGAGTTACCAGCGCCTGGCTTTACATTTTAAATTAAATGTATAATAAATGAATCAATCAATCAATCAATGAGGGAAATAAAAATGCATCCCAGTGTGTCACACTAAAATGAATGAAACAAGCCGAAGTAAGCACTGCAGACTAGACAGCATCTAGGGAAGACCTGAAGACGGGATCTGTTGATCTGGGTCTGTACCCTCCCCCTCCCCCCCCATGCCCCTCCCCCCCTCCTCTCCCCCTGGGTCCTTTCTTAGGCTCCTGGTTTGGAGGAGGAAGTTAACAATCTTTGTCTTTTCTGAGATGCTTGGTGGTGGGAGGGGCAACAGACAGACTTTATTGAAGCCTCTTCCTGATCTGCTGGAAACAGACCTTCTGATGAACCACTTATAGCTTTTCCTAACTGAAAAAATAATAGAATCCTTCTCCACTCATTCAAGGTTTTCAATGTTGCTGTCCTTGCTGTCTTTCCTTTTTATCTTGCTTGCTTTAGTTTATCTGTCTTTGAGATGGTAAAGAGGGGGTACACAGAAATGGAGAGATAAGGGGTAAACAAATACAGCAGTGGTACCCACTAGACACTATGTGAAAAATGAACTATACAACTTGTGGGTGGGGGATGGGAGGAAAAAATGGAAGAGAGTGGGGGAAGGGGTGACATTATTCAAAAAGAAATGTACTTATTACCTGACTTATATAACCGTAGCCCCTTTTACATCACTTTTATAATAACAATACAACTTTTTTTTTTTTGGTCTGCTACGGGCTTGAACACTGGGCCTGGGTGCATCCCTCAGCTCTTCAGCTCAAGGCTAGTGCTCCACCTCTTGAGCCACGGCACCACTTCCAGTTTTCTGGTTTACTGGAAATGAGAGTCTCACAGACTTTCTTGCCTGGGCAGGCTTTGAACCGTGATTCTCAGATCTCAACCTCCTGAGTAGCTAGGATGACAGGCGTGAGCCAACGGTGCCCCGCCACAATATAACATTTTTAAAGGAAAAATAATAGAATCCCTATCTGCAAAATGCTTCTAGAGTGATCCACCACGGTGCATATAGTATGTCCTCAGTGGGTGGATTTATGGAAGGCATGCTAGGGTGGAGATGAATGGGAATAAATGGAGATGCTAACTGAAATCGAGCCCTTGGAGCACATCAGCGTATCTCTCCCATTACATCCTCCATATTCTATCGGGAGCAGAACAAATCCTGGAACGGAAGGAAAAGAATATCCACTACCGGGCAGGCTGCTCTCAAGGAAGAAGGTGTTGTGTCAGCCTGAAATTTACTGACGCGCCTTATGATCAGTGAGGCTGGGCATGAAGCCCTGTGACTCAGGCAGGACCCTCTAACCGGCTGTGTTCTCTCCCGGGGCATCTGCCTCTCCTGTTTCTCTTCTGTTGTTGTGAACGGACTCGTCTTTGCTTCTCATGAGCAGTGAGGCTGGGTATACTAGTGCCGAGCCTCAGTCTCCCGATCTGTAAAGTGAGCCACTGTGTGAATCCAATGGGGAGCTTGGGCTGAGCCTCTTACCCGTCCCTGCACCGAAGCACACACTCTCTGCCCAGCTGGAGCCAGCCAGGCCGGCAGGAGAGACACTGCAGGCTGTGTTTCCCTTCACAGGTCCTGCAGGAGCTGTGGCACGGGACGCACCGATGGCTGTCCTCCTCCGCGTAGTAGCCCTCCGGGCAGTCCCCCACGCACGTCGAGTCTGCGGGAGAATAGAAGAGCCCACCTTGACAGCTACCCTGCCCCACGGCTCCCAGACCCGGTGTGTTTGCTGGGAGACACCACAGCCTCGTGGGCTGATGCAGATCCTTGGGAACAAAGGTGTTTTCCCCCTCCCTACCCCTCCCAATAGATCTGGCTGGAAGACTGCAGGCGTGCAGAGAACCTGGAATCAGCGTGGACCAGTAGTGGGAGAAGGAGGCCCTGGATAGAGATGTCCCAGGAAGAGGAAGAAAACGTTCCCCTTGTTTCCATGGTGAGACTGTGTGTACTGATGGGAAGACAGCTGTGAACATGTTCTCTGGTCTTCCCCATGCTCTCGGGGAAGTTCAGCTCCTTCACATCTGGTAGTTTTGGTGGAATTCAGTTGTCTTTCCTCTTTGCTGGTGTTAAGCCCAACCATGGCTTGCTGAACACCTTAGGACTTGTTTTACACTAGCAATCACCTTCAGACTAAATGTGCTGAAGGTAGGCAACCTTGGACTATGCTTGTTCAAGATTTTCTTTTTTAAAACTGAGGCTTGAACTCAGGGCCTTACACTCTTAAGTAGTTGTTTTAATTTTTTTTTTCTTGAGCCACACCTCCACTTCTGCCTTTTTGCAGGCTAATTGGAAATAAGTTGCTCAAATTTATCTGCCCCCCCCCCCCCCCCCGCCCGCTAGCTTCAAAGCATGAGCTTCAAATCTCAGCTTTCTGAATAGCTAGGATTACAGGGATGAGTCACCAGTGTCTGGCTGGAGATGATTTCATTTCATTTTGAGACAGAGTCTCACTATAAAGCTCAAGCTAGCCTTGAACTCTCAATCTTCCTGCCTCAGTCTCCCGCACACTGAGATTACAGGCATATATAATGCCATCATATGTAGCCAAGAAAAGGTGTTAATCAACAGCTGTGAAGGGGAAATTTTGATGAGGAGTTGAATATGAACATGTGTGTAAGGTGTCTCACACACTGTTCATTCATTACAAGGGGATCAATAGTAATCAGTTTCTCACGCAGTAGGGAGATTGGGGATCTTGGCCAGATGATCAACATTTATACCAGGGATAAGAGGCTGGTGGATATCATATGCATAGGGAGTACAATATCATCCACTCTGGCTGAAAATGCATAATCTCTATCAATCATTAAGGAAACTCACACCAGCCCCCAAGGGGAGATGGGGACTCGCTATCACAAAAGACAGAGACAGTTTTGTGCCAATGCTGCAGACTGAAGGAGGCTGAAGAGACAAGAATGCTCAATGCAATGGCTGACCCTAGATGGAACTCTAGCCAGGGGTATGTTGCAGTACTGCATCAATGTACATTGATTAGTGTTGACAACTGTCCTGTGGTTATGTCAGGAAGCTCAGCAACCATGTGCCACAAGTAAGGGTATGTTATGGATTAAGGATGGAGGGATCATCAGTGGATCAAAGATTCACAGTAGGCAACCTGGGCAAAGGGCATCGGTGTGAGGGTCATCTATGTACTTTTCTCAGTCGTGGATCTTTTCTGTAGACTTGCAAGTGTTCCCTCCCCCCCCCCCCCCCCCCATTTACTAAACAAGAAGCTGATATCCACCAGGCATCAAGCATCTTGCCAGTAGGTTCCCAAGAGGGAGAGAAAAGCCACGCCTTCCTGAGGGTGGAGGAGGAGCTGGGTGGGCGTCACTCACTGAGAAGGAGGCTGGGCCTGGGGCAGGCTTCGCACTGGTCCTCCCTGGGCCCTGAGCAGTGCCAGCACTTGCGGTGACATGGCCGACACCTGTGCCCCGCCTCATCCCAGTACTCAATGGCCGCACACTCGCTGTGCGGAATGCAGTTCCCGAGCTTGGTCTTTTTCCAGCCTTTCCGACACGTGATACAGGTCCCGGGTGATGAGCAGGTGTGGCAGAACTTGGGGCAATCTGTGGGTGTGACAGGGAGGGTGGGGGAGGAGATAGTAAGAGAAGGCCAGGATGCTCTTCTAGGAATACACTCCTGATCATCTGGAAATTTCTAAGGCTTTGTGCCAAGGATGGTAGGTAGGGCTGCTGGGCTGTAAGGTTAAGAGTTGAACTCTGCCATCACAAAATGAGAAAAGATGACGGCTTCATTTTCTCAGAGAGTCCCTGCCTGAAAAGTCACCCCAGAAATATTGGCAAGGCCCATTATAACCACACCACTGCACGGAAATGATGACAAGCATTATACAAAGCATGGTCTCTGCCATATACTCCTCTGTGGCCATTTCTGCCATCATAACCCTCATTGCCTCTTGGTCCTTTGCTTCCTTCCCCACAATAACTTCAGCTTCTCTGTCTATCTGTCTGTCTGTCTGTCTGTCTGCCTGCCTGCCTGCCTGCCCGTCTGCCCGCCCGCCGGCCCGCCCATCCGTCCGTCCGTCCATCCATCCATCCATCCATCCATCCATCCATCCATCCATCCATCCATCCATCCATCCATCCATCCATCCATCTATCTATCTATATCTTTGTGTGTCCAGGAGGGAGGGCTTGTCCTGGTGCTTGAACTTATGGCCTAGACACTGTTCCTGAGCTTTTTTCCTCAAAGTTAGTGCTCTACCACTTGAGCCACAGGTCTATTTCCAGCCTTTTGGTGGCTAATTTGAGATAAGAGTCTCACGGACTTTCCTTCTCAGGCTGTCTTGCAACTGCAGTCCTCAGATCTCAGCCTCCCGAGTAGCTAGGATTTATAGCTGTGAGACACCAATGTCTGGCTAGGCCTATACCTTTATATAGCTGTACAGAGGGGTTTCAATTTAACAAGTCAGTTTATGAGTACCATGCATCTTGGTCAATGCCATCCTTCCACCTTCCCCTAATACAGCAGTTGTTGGAAAAATCATAATCACTCATGACCAAAAATAAATTCTATCACATTCATTTATGGGCACATAGCACCCAGGGGAGGGGCCAGGCCTCTGCGGGCACCCTAGCGGTGTATCAGACACATTACAATAACACATCGGCCTATCTTCCTAGCTCCACCCATGTCTGATTGTTTTTCTTTCCTCCCCAATAGAATGTGCACTCTACAAAGGCACAGATTCTGTCTCTCTTGCTGCCCAGACCTGGGAGAGAGCAGGGCAGGAAGCAGCCTGACACTGTGGGTGAACAGGTGTGTGATGTCAGTATTGCTGTCATTCTCATCTTATTATAGCTGTGTCTGGACGTGGAGACTGCAGATGCTGAACCACGTGGCCAGCAGAGGTCAGGAGCCGAACCCAGGTCCTTCCCCAGGTCCTCCTGCCAGTGCTGACCTGATGCTCCCAGAAAGGTGTGGGCAGCTGCCTGGGCTTTAGAAAAGTCTTTCCCAGTATGCTTTTCTTCTTAGTTTGGGAATTCCTCATAATGGGCAATTTACTTTATGTTTTGGTTCCCAGATTATGAATAAGAGGCAAACAATCCATGCCCAGTCACAACAGAAGGAGGTATAAATAACATTATTTTTCTTCAGTGTGTAGGGACTGACGTGCTTGGGGGAAGTATTTGGAATGGGGCCAGAGAGGCTGAAGGTGAACAGGGAGAAATGGATGAGCTGTGGGAAGCAAATCTCAAAAGGAGACAAGACGCACAGGGGAAATTCTCTGTGACTCGCTTAGTTAATGTGATCAATTTGTAGTGGCTTAAAACTTAAACCTTTCAATTAGGCTCTTTTTTCTCTTCTCTTCTTTTTCTTTTTCTTTCTTGTCAGTCCTGGAGTCTTGAACTCAGAGCCTGGGTGCTGTCCCTGAGCTGCTTTTTGCTCAAGGCTAGTGTTCTACCATTTGAAGCACAGCTCTACTTCTGGCTTTTTCTGTGCTTAACTGGAGATAAGAGTCTCATGGGTTTTCTTGCCTGGGCTGGCTTCAAACCACCTCCTCAGGTCTCAGCCTCCTGAGTAGCTAGGATTACAGGTGTGAGCCACCAGTACCCAGCCATTTAGGGCCATGTTGAAGGCTGATCATTTCTGCTAAAATCCATTTGACTGGCATGTCATACTCTCGGTTAGGAAGAGGGTCCATGTGATATGTGACTAATAGAATGGACAAGATCTAAGATTATGCATGATTCTTTTTTTTGCGGATCGCCAGTACTGAGGCTTGAACTCAGGGCTTGGAGGCTCTCTCTTAACTTTTTCATTCAAGGCTGGTGTTCTACCACTTAAGCCATACCTCCTCTGACAGCTTTTTGGGGGTTATTGGGAGACAAGAATCTCACAGACTTTTCTACTTGGGTGGGTTTCAGATCTCAGCCTTTTGATAGTGAGGGTGGCAGATGTAAGCTATCAGCTCCTGGCTCTGAACGAGCCACTTCAAAAGACAAATGAGAACCAATTGGAGTAGACGTCCTTACAGGGTCGGGTTACAGATGTGCGGCTGGCACTAACTGCCTGGGGCAGAGGCTGTCCTTGGAAACCCATCGCTCCTCCCCCGGCAGGCTGAGTGGCAGGCTGAGTGTGTGGCCGTGCACTCAGCAGGCCCTTACCTTGGCAGCTCTCGGTCTCTTCCTCGTAGTAAGCTCCCACTGGGCACTCGTCCAGGCACTGCCCCTTGTAGAGGGACTTAGATATATCGGCACACTGCTCACAGTCATCCGCCTTGGGGCCGCTGCATTGGAGGCAGTCTTCGTGGCAGGTGATACACTGGCCTGCGTGTGAGTAGGAGCCCTGGGGACAGGACTGATGGCATGTGTCTTCATGCAGGAAGAAGTCGGGCATGCACTCTGCGGGAAGGAAGAGCGGCCCATGAGCTCCAGGGGCTGGCAGCGAAGCTAGCCCATCTCTCACCACTGGGACTCACGCTGACCCCATCCTGCCAGGGCAAATCCTCAAGGTCAAAGAGGCCCTGGCTTGGGGAGGGGCCTTACATCCTAACTCTGGGTGCTGGAAGCGGCCTGCATTTCTGATGTACCAGAAATCACTGTGGCAGACAGGGATGGCTGAGGTGCTAGGGGTTTTGTCAGAAGACCTCCAGAAGCATGAATAGTTACCTGTAGTTGTCTGATGCAAAACAGACTCTGTTCCACAATAAAAACAAGTTAGAAATTGCAGAGCAAGTTAATTTTGCATTCTGTCAGAGCACAGACCTTGGCTAGATGATTAATCAGCACAAATAATAACTTGTGGATTTATTTTGTTTCTGTTGTTATTCTTATTCGGGGAAGAATCCTTGAGGTCTCATCAAGAGGATGCTTTGAATAGAACAACACCAGGTAAGTAGCTTGTCTTGTTTTGGAGAAGAAATTGGATATGTTTCTTGGGAGATCATTCTCGAGAAAATCTTCATAGCCAGAGAGCTAGTCTCCATTTTATAGTTGTCAGTACTTCCCCGCTCTGTCTGTCTCTCTCTCTCTGTCTCTCTGTCTCTGTCTCTGTCTGCCTCTCTGTCTGTCTCTCTGTCTGTCTCTCTGTCTCTCTCTCTCTGCATGCTAAGCAAGCCCGCTACCATTTGAGCCATGCCCAGAGTACTATTGCTTCTATTTTGTTTTTGACATAGGGTCTCACTGAGTGCTTAGGCTGACAGATATCTTCCTATCTCCACTTTCTGGAATTATATGCATGCACCACCAGGCCTGGTTTCTTTTTCTTTTTCTGTCAGTCATGGGGCCTGAACTCTGGGCCTGGGCGCTGTCCCTCAGCTCTTCAGTTCAAGGCTAGTGCCCTACCACTTGAGCCACAGCACCACTTCCGGCTTTCTGTTTGTGAGGTGCTGAGGGCCTCATGCATGCAAGGCAAGCGTTCCACCATTGAGCCACCTTCCCAGCCCCCAGGCCTGGTTTCTTGGTTATCTTTTCTTGCTTTTTTTTTTTCTTTTTAGCCTGTCCTAGGGCTTGAACTGAGCACCTAGGCGATGTCTTTGAGCTTCTTTTGCTCAAAGTTAGTGTTCTACCACTTGAGCTACTGTTCCATTTCTGCCTTTTTGTGTTTTTGAGTCGTTTAATAAAGATGAGAGTCTCTCAGACTCTCCTACCTGGGCTGGATCTCAAACTGAGATCCTCAGCTCTCAACTTTGTGAGTAGCTAGGATTACAGGGGTGAGCCATCAGCTCCCCGCTTCTTACCATTCCGTTAATCACCTCTGTTTATTTTATTTTTGTTGATTGTGTGTTTTGGCTTTGTTTTTTTGCTGGTGATATGGGAATGTGAACTTCAGGCCTCATATTGCCTAGGCGGGAACACCACCGCTTGAGCCACGCCTCAATCCTGCCCTCGGCATTTGTTTAGTGTCCCTCTCTCCTTTAAGCCCGTGTGTGTGGAAGGAATCTTCTTGGTCTCAATCTGCAGACTGCATATTGGAGAGAGAGTAAGTCACTCTCAGTTTGCACCACGGTGGGTAGGTTTCCCTACGGACCGAGCCTGGCTGTGGAGGTTTGCTGAGGACACGCTGTGGTTCCCAGGGGCTCACGGGGCTCCCCCTCTCTCTGGGGAGTACCTTTGCATGTTCTCTCATGGAGACACTCCTGACACATCTCCGGACAGTGCCTGCACACCCCGTCCACAGCCACGTGTTTCTCAGGACAGGCTTCCCAGCATTCTCTGCCATCTAGGACAAACCCTTCTTCACAGGTCTGACAGTTGGTGGCATTTCCTTCGCAGATTCTGCAGGGAGAGCTGCACGGTTCGCAGAGGCCGTCTGTGCCGTAAAAGCCCCTGTGGAAGGACGGGAGAGAGATTGGAGAGGCTGCGTGCGGGGCTCGGGATGGGGCTTCAACTTGGGGAGAAAGAGATTCCCACTCAGATGGAAAGGCTGTTTGCCGTTGGCAGACAAAAGGAATTCTTCATGACTTACTGATTGAGGGTGGTATAGGGAACATCTAGAAAAATAAAACGAAAGGCTAGGCATTCTCCTGGTGAATTTGGTTCGTTTGTAAACACTAGTGGATAATAGGGCTATCATGTAGTCACCTTCTGATTCCTTGTTGTACCCCATAATTGTCATAACGTTCTTTCACGTGAAAGCCTTGTTTTTGCCGAAGAAACATCCTTTCTGTTCAATTGAATAATTTTAGAACCATTTCACCAATTAAAGAACATACTGTGGGGGCTGGGAAGGTGGCTCAGTGGCAGAGCGCTTGCCTTGCATGCCTGAGGCCTTGGGTTCGATTCCTCAGCACCACATAAGCAAAAAGAAGAAAAGCCAGAAGTGGCGCTGTGGCTCAAGTGGTAGAGTGCTAGCTTTGAGCTGAAGAGTTGAGGGACAGCGTCCAGGCCCAGAGTTCAGGCCCCACGACTGGACCCCCCCCAAAAAAAAATAAATAAATAAAAATTAAAAAAAAAGAACATACTGTGCATGGCGCTCCATGGAAACGATCTGGAAAATGAACTCTGCGACGGGTGGGCAGGGACAGGAAGGGAGAACTGGGGAAAAGCAGAGGTGAAGTGACACTGTCCGAAATGAAATGTGCTCACTCCCTCGACTCAGGGAGCAGTAACGCCTTTGTACAACACCTCAACAATAACAGTAAAATCATATGAAAAGTATTTCCATTCATGCTCTCTACAGTTGGAACCCCTTTTGTGTTCAGGGTACTTTCTACATGCACAGCCTCCTCCTCCTCCACCCCAGCGATGCCTTTGTTATAATTCGTCACCCGACATTGGCACATCTCTATCACCCCCACCTTCCCCCCCTCCCCCTACCAAGCAGCCAATCAGAAAATTGAGGCTTATGGGTACTTGCTGATGGCTGGATACGACGGTGCATTAAAACTGGCCTGACAACGAAGTGGGGAGGGGTGGTGGAGGAAGGCTGCAAAAGGAAGAGGAGGGAGGAGAGGGTGAGGAAATAAGGGTGGAACCGGAGATCCTTAGCCTGGCAACCTTACCAGAAACAGAAGGCAGACCCAGCCATCAGAAAGCCGTCTGCAAAGACCCAGTTCCCCCTACTTAACCCAAGGCCGTGCTCTGTAATGCAGAAGAGAACTAAGAGGGTAGAGCGGGGCTGGGGGGCTGTCTTCCCCACGTCTAGCCATGGGCTCTCTTTCTGTCAGATTTCTCTTCCACGACCCTTCTTTTATGTTTTGGTCTTGCCTGAATTCTTCTCTTGCCAGACACAAAGACCGAGATTATATAGCTGCCCTAAACTTTCTAGCAACCATTTGGTGTATTGGTAGGAAAATTAGGGATTAAGTTTTCTCCGCCTTGGACTCATTGAAATGATGTAAGGACTGTACCCTTCAGTGTGGTGTCCTAGAGTAACTTCACTACCCTAAAAGCCTCTGGGATCTCTTTTGTATTGGCTCCATGTTGGCTGTTTTCAGAATTGGAGTCATACAGTTCGTAGGTTTTGTTCACATAGTAATATGCATTCTGGTGCTCATGGCTCGAGGGAGGTTTGGGCTGTCCCTGAGCCTCTTTGTGCTCAAGGGTAGTGCTCTGTCACTTGAGCCACAGTGCCCCTTGTGGCCTTTTCAGAGTAGTTTATTGGAGATGAGACTCTCAGGGACTTTTCTGCCCAGGCTGGCTTTGAACTGCCATCCTCAGATCTCAGCTAGGATTACAGGCATGAGCCACCAGCACCCAGCTTCATGGTTTGATTCTTTCAGTGAATAATATTTCACTGTCTGGTGTTAAAAATAAATTTGTTGGGAGGCCAACAAATGGAGACAACTCAAGTGTCTTGGGTTCTCATGCAAACAAACAGAAGCTCAATCAAAACGGCAAAAGGAAATGTAATTTAACTAATCAGAAGCCCCCAACGAACCTTCCACTCAAAACTTCCCACTTGAGTGAATTGAACATATTTTCTGCGTGTCACTTTGGCAAACACCTTATAAAACATTCCTCTTTTCATTTCTGCAACGGAGCAATGAACCACTGGTAGTCTGGTGTGATCCGATGCATGTGCCACGCAAAACACAAACGAACTAGTTAGAATTTTAATGTGCAGTTACTATGTGCTAATAAAAAAAGACAACAAAAACAGAAAATACTTTAATGAGCCCCACTTTATCTTTTAACACCAGATGCCACATTCAGTTTACCCATTCATCAACTGCTGTAGTTTGGCTCTTGAATGTCCCCAGATGGTCACCTCCTAGGGAGGGGATGTTGGAGGATTTTAAGAAGTGGGATCTCAGTGTCGCAAGGTATAACGTTAATATGCAAAGCTGCGTAGCTGTTTTGTACACCAACAATGGACAGGTTGGGACAATAATTCCATTCTCAATAGTCTAAAAATACTTGAGAACAAACTTAGCTAGCAGGTGGTGAAAGATCTCTACAGCAAAAACGATAAAACCCTGAAAAAAGAGTGAAGACGGCAACAGAAGATGAAAACACGTCCAGCTGGGAAGGTGGCTTCGTGGTAGACGGCTTGCCTTGCATGCACGAAGCCCTGGGTTCAATTCCTCAGCACCACAGAAACAGAAAAAGCTGGAAGTGGCGCTGTGGCTCAAGTGGTAGAATGCTAGACTGGAGCAAAAAAGCAGCTCAGGGACAGTGCCCAGGCCCTGAGTTCAAGCCCCAGGACTGGCCAAAAAAAAAAAAAAAGAAAAGAAAAGACCTCCTAGGCTCATAAATCAGTAGAATCAATATTTGGAAATGGTTATACTACAAAAAGCAATTTATGGATTCAGTGTAATTCCCATCAAAATCCCAGTGTCATTCTTCATAGAGATAAAAAAAATCAATTCCAAAATTTATATGGAAACATTAAAACAAACCTAATAGAAAAGCAATCTGAGCAGAAGAGTAAGGCTGGAGGTATCATAATACATAACTGCAAGTTCTACTTACAGAGCAGTAAGACCAACAATAACAACAACAAAAATCTCTCTCTTCTCCTGTCCCCAAACATAGCATGTGTAAAACCGACAAGTAGATCATCAATAGGAAAGAACAGAAGACCCAGAAAAAAACTCACACCGTTACAGCTACTTGGTTTTTGACAAAGGAGTCAAAAACATAGACTGTAGAGAAGACAAATGGTGCGGGGCGGGGGGGGGGGGGCGGGAACTGATTATCTCCATGTGGAAGGCAATAGGCCCCTCTCATCTACCACAAAACCATTTCAAAACGGATCAAAGGCTTTACTGTAATGAAATCTTAACATGACTATGGGAAGACTTTGGACTCTGTAGTCACAGGCAATTATTTTCTGAGAAGGACTGGAAATTGAGTAGCAATTGATAAATGAGACTGCCAAAGCTTCTGCATAGCAAAGAAACAATGACAAGATCCAACCTACAGAAGGGGGAGAAAGGCTTGTCCAGCTAGTCAGTGGATAAAGGATTAATATCTAGATTATACAAAGAACTCAAAAAGTTAAACAGCAAAAGGAAAATAAATGAGAAAATGAATTGAACAGATAGCTCTTAGTGCAAATGGCTAGTGAATGCGTGAAGAAAAAAGTTCAGTATCATTAGACATAAAGAAAATGCCAATTAAGAGTACACTGAGCTTCTGCATCATCCCAAGTAGAATAACAATCTTCAAGAAAACAAGCAACTCCAAAAGAATTGGGCTTGCATGGAGGAGCAACACTGATATACTGCTGGTGGGATTGGAGGCTAGTGCAAACACGTGGAAATCAGTCTGGAGGTTCCTCAAGATAATGACGATATTTACCTTCTGACTTACCAATACTGCTGCCATAAATGGGGACACACAAGCATCTCTCTTGTATATTTATTTATAGTCTTGCATACAGTACATTCATTTGTGGTTAATTTAGGGCCTATTGAATATACAAGAGAGATACCTGCATATCCATACTTATTTTAGCACTATGCACAATAGCCAAGCTGTGGGATCAGCTTATATGCCCAATAAGAAATGAATGGAAAGGAAAGGTGGTCTATATTCAGCTATAAAGAAGAATGAAATTATGCTGTTTGCAGGAAAATAGATGGCACAGAAGATCATCATGTTGCGCGTACACAATAGGACGTTCTCACTTATGAGTAGCACATAGACCTCAACTGATGATGACAAAATAATTAATACTAATAACGTAGCATAAGTAAAAGAGGGACTGTCTGAGGAGTTGGTAGGGAGAGTGAGAAATGAGAGGTTAAAGGGAGTGAGAAGAACTCATATGTATGTGAGTATACATATTTATATATTATAAGTATATTATAAGAGAGAGGGAGAGAGAGAGAGGGATAGGAGCACTTCACTCTCATTACAGTGCGTTGCTCCTGGTGGTGTATTTTCTTCATCTCTTCCTGGGCCTAATCTTTCAATGAGGCTTCTTCTAGGGTGTGTTCCTGTGTTCAGGGAAGCCCGGAGCAGCTGCCTGCAGCCTAGGTACCATCCACCATTTCCCACATCTGGGGAGGGGGGACCCCACACAAGGGGAGGTCTGGGGGGGGTTCCATGTTCCCCCAGCAGAGCCTGGTGTGGGAAGGTGTGAAGTGGTGGGTCCTGGCAAAGGGGTCTGGAAGTCTGAGGGAGTTTTCTTTCCTCTTCAAAGGAGGGATAAGCAGGGAGAAATGAGGCTTTTCTGCCTGTGCTTCTGGCTGTTCAGGGAGGGACAGCCTGGCGGGGGATGGGGGCTGGTAGAGAACCCGCTGGGATCTGCGCAGAAGACATTTTGGCCATGGCATTCATCAATAAGGATTTCCCCGATCTGTTGCATATTCCTAGAAGTTTCCTAATGGACTTTCCACTTGCTTTTTCGTTCACTTGCTGGTAAAGCTGCTAAAGGTGTTGATAGGAAGCCCAAAGGAACAATAAAGCCAGGGGCTGGAAAACCCTGGGACTTAGAAAGTAATGTGTTGCTTTTTTTTTTTTTAACTTTGAATTCACAGCTTCTATAATTTAGAAGAGGTTCAGATCATAACATTGCTTATTGATTGATTGATTGAGTGATTGCCCATATTGGGGCTTGAACTCAGAGCCTGGGTCCTATCCTTTGGCTTTTTTTTTTCCTGGTTGGTCATGGGGCTTGAACTCTGGGCACTGTCCCTCAGCTCTTCAGCTCAAGGCGAGCACTCTACCACTTGAGCCACAGCACCACTTCCGGATTATTTCTGCTTATGTCGTGCTGAGGAGTCGAACCCAGGGCCTCATGCATGCAAGGCAAGCACTCTACCACTGAGCCACTTCCCAGCCCCCCTTGGTTTTTTTTTTTTAAATTCAAGGTGGGAGATCTACTTGAGCCACAGCTCCAATTTCCAGCTCTTTGCTGGTGACATGGAGACAAGAGTCTCAGAGACGTTTTCTTCCTAGGCTGATCTTACTCCTTAGGCCTCAACCAGAAAACCAGGCTGACATCGCTTGATCATTAATAGGAGGGAGTCACAGAGCATGCCCTCGCAAGTGCCAGTCTCGCCTCGCTACGTGTAGCTGCGTGGCATCGAGGTTTGTGTGAGAGTCCTGTGATATCTGCACCAGCATGAAATCGCGTTTCCCTCAACCCGACTCCATGGCTATGGAGCACAAGGTGCAGGGCAGGTAAAAAACACACGCCTAGAGTTGTCACCGGGAGAGGCCGGAGTCTGAAGTGGGGTTAAGTGTTGTTTGCTGAGGCCAAGGGTGACGATGCCGGTGGACACAAAGCACCCTAGCCAGCGTTCACTTACTCAGGACACCGGGAGTAGCACCTGCCTTCGTGCAGGAAGAGCGGCAAGTCCGGCTGCATGCGGCACGTGGCGCAGCGGTCGGCGGTGGAGCAGGAGCCACAGCCCTCAGCACAGTGCTCACAGCGGCCACTCCTGTCCGAGGCCCACGTGCCTTGGGGACAGGAGGCCACGCAGGCCTGAGCCAACAGATAGGCACCTAGACATGCAAGGCAGAGAGGAAAAGCCACCGTGAGCGCGAGCCGTGTGTGCACAGCTCAGGCCGACCCCCCCCCCCCCCCCCCCCACGCTGCAGCGACAAACCCTCTGCAGCCCCTGGAGCTCATTTCAGACTTAGAAAACACACATCAGTGATGCAAAGACCTCCAAGATGACTGACGTCTCTGTAAAGAAAGTAGGCAGCTGGAGGCCCTTGCCCTGATTGTTTTGCTTTCCTCTGTTATTAGATTCCGGTCTATTGTAAAGCTCCTATTTGTACCTAACTTATCAATGAAAGCATATGATAGGAATGATTTCCTTACATCCTGTGTAGGGACAACATAGTCATGATCGGCTTGGTGTACTCAGTGGGAGTTCTGGAATATGTATCTACACAGCAGGTTCCTATATGGCCCTTGTGATGGGACTTTAATGGGTCCATTATGTTAATGCAGCGTGTAAATGAAATACCCTCCTAATTCTGGGGTGGCTTATTACTTATAACTTTTAAAAAAGATTAGTTTTTTGGTGTGGATACTGGGGCTTGAACTTAGTGTTGTGTGTGTCAGGGGGTGTGGGTGTGTGTTTTGTTTTTTGTTTAAGGCTGGTTCACTACCACTTAAACCACACCACCAACCACTTCTTGCTTTCTTTTGCTAGTTAGCTGGAGATTAGAGGCTCTCAGAGTTGTCTGCCACGGTTAGCTTTGCACGTCAGCCCTCAGATCTCAGCCCCATGAGTATGGAAATGCTTTTATAAACAATGAAGACCTTGATCGTCAGTGAGTCTTTCTACTCCTACCTCTCCCTCCTCTCCCACCTCCTCTCCCACCTCTAAATTCATTATCAAAGGAAAAAAACCAAGCCTTTCCATCCCTGGTCACAGTCTCCTCCTACGTCTTCTTGTGTTAGGGGTGTGTTTCAAAAGAACAGAAATATCAAGTACCCATGGACCTTAATACATGGGCCTGTTAACACCTTGCGTGGTCTTGCTTTTGGATTAAGAAAACTATCTCTATTTGTCCCTTGATGGCCAATTTCCATCCACATTGGCCCAGCATTTTTTCTTGGCGAGTCTCCTTGGGGACAGGACCATGCAATGGGACTAGATCCAAGTCCTCCAAAGCCCGGAACTAGAACAGGTTGACATATGAGGTGACAGGAAATGGGCCTGCCCTCCCTTCCCCCGTCTCTCCCCATACTGACCTTTTGCACACGCAGTGCAACGAGTTCCAGATGCGTCGCAGGTTTGACAAGAAGAAGGACAACGTTGATTTTGTGTGGAAGCGTCTGAGTGGGAGAGAGACAGGCCAGATTGGGCTTTGAGCAGGCTGCTAATGCGACAGCATTGGAAAGACCTGGCTTCTCTCTTGCCCTGGAACATTAGCTAATTGTTGACACCTGCCCACCTCCATTCTGCAGAACTGTATTGCTTTATTTTCTTCTCCTACTCTTTCGTTAGCAATTGATGATCAAGACTTCTCTTTGCAACCTGGCAGTGACGGAAGACATGGTCCACATGGGGGAAACCGGAACTAACACATATCCCTTCGTTTCCTATGTTCAAAACGTGTGAGGTGAGGGTTGTTGCTATTGTATGTGCTCTCGACGGACCTGCAAGCCACACGTAAGAGTTTCCTGGCCTGGGTCTCAGATGGCCTCTCATTCTGTGTGGCAACCAAGAATACGTTCTGTCTCCCCATTTCTTTTTGCCTTTTTTGCTCTTTTTGGTTGCTGCTATCAGTCCATGCCTAGATCTTTGTGTTTGAGTAATCGCCACGGAATGCAAACTTCATCGATCTCATCTTAGATTTGTCCCAAATGATTGCTCAACATCCACATAATCAACCCACCCACAGACTCTCTGGTTGGCCCAGTGTTCAGCCGGCCCTTCCAGACCAACGCTGCAAGAACGTTGTCAATAGCAGGAGTGTTCCTGTCTCCCCGTCCTGAACTGGATGGGCAGGCTTTTCTCAGGAAGTCTCCTCAGCCCTCCATGGCACAATTTCAAGAGCCATATACAACCAAGTGACTCACACCATCAGCAGCATGTACCAAGATCTCGACTGAAGTTCAGAAAGTAGCTGCATCATAGGGGGACATTAGCAAAAGAGGTTCTAGCTCAGAGCCATTGCGGGCCCTTTCTCTAACCCTGCCTCTCACTTCCCTTCGCTCTCCCTGGGAGTCATCACACCTGCCGTCAGTTCCCAGCTGTGTGGCTTGCTGGTTCGCTGGGAGGTAACCATGGCTACAATAATTAAATTCTCCCAGTCCTATTTTCCAGGTCTCTAAAAGGAGAGAAGCTGGTCCCTTCTTCTGGGATTGTTGTGAAGGTTACTGAGCAAGTGCGCACGGAGTGATTAGCACAGTAGCTTGGTGGACGCGACTCCATCTGCTTCCTTCTGGATCTCTGGATTTTCCCCGTTCCACCCCCTTGTGGAGGCTTCTTGCATTTCCCTCTCCTTCCCTCCTGCGTTTATGCCTGACTGGCTCTAGAAGCCTTCAATTAGTTTAAAAAAGGGTTAAAAAGGTGCAGAGCTTTGCTGTAAAGGAGAGTTAAATATAGATATAGTTAGGGATAGATAGAGCTGAAAAATGTAGATGTTCAAGAATATGTGCACACACACACACACACATACACACACACACGCACACGCACACACACACACACACACACACGACACCTACAAACAGACACAAGTCTTCCTTTATGTATAAATGATTGTCCGGGCTGCCATGCTGAGTGGCATGCTTCTTCCTCGTTTGGAAGGAAAAGTTGGCCCAGGTTTCCCAGGATATGATTAAAGCTGATGATTGGCAGATGTATTCCCCCAGGAATACCTCCAGGGATTGTGGCAGAAAGGCGTGGAGAAACTGCTCAGAGCTGTTTGGCTTGGTGACTATCTTTGTCACCAAATGGACCCATGGGATTCTTGACATACTGATCCTGTCCTTGGGCCTCTTCACCCAGTGATACCATTCAACCCACAAGAGAAGAAAAACATGTCAGAAGTCAATATGCATACTGAGTAGTAACCAGACACTAGACAGGAAGCCCTGGGAAAGGCTGTTTCCGATCAGCCCACAGGCTTGGGCTGATTTTCTTTTGATGTTCTCATTTTTGTGCTAAAATGTCTCACTTAAAAAGATGTGTCTTAATTTTTCATACTTTTGTAAAATGTAATGTGCATTGACATGGACATGTGTATTTATAGCTTGCAGATAGTTTACATTGTAATTTGGGTATTTTACTGTTTATACTGGGTGGAATTTGGCAATGTCCCTAGCTGTCCAGCAGAGGGAGCTCTGTACAAGCAGTTCACAGCTATGAAGCTACAACTTCAAACCCAAGATTAGGGACTTTATACCAAGTTAACTAGACCTTGATTGTGATTTCCAGTATTAGCCTTTTCAATATATTCTTTTTTTTTTTTTTTTTGTCAGTCATGGGGCTTGAACTCTGGGCCTGGGCGCTGTCCCTCAGCTCTTCAGCTCAAGGCGAGCGCTCTACCACTTGAGCTACAGCGCCACTTCCGGTTTTCTGGTGGTTTATTGGAGATAGGAGTCTCACGGTCTTTCCTGCCCGGGCTGGCTTTGAACTGTGATCCTCAGATCTCAGCCTCCTGAGTAGCTAGGATTATAGGCGTGAGCCACCAGCGCCTGGCTTTTTCAATATATTCTATAATTGGCAGAACTTTAAAAGAACAGGAAAAAATGGAAGGGAAGAAAAGTCTCTTTAGGAAAGTACAATTTCTGTCCTTCAGAAATGAGTATGGCTAACCTACAAAAAGCTAGAGGCTCTTTTTTGTTTGTTTGTTTGCACCCATCCTCGGGCTTGAAGTCAAGGCCTAGGTATTGTCCCTGAGCTTTATTGCTCAAGTCTAGTGCCACAGCTTCTTTTCTGGTGTTTTGTTAGTTAATGGGAGATAAGATTCTTAAGACTTTCCTGAACGGGCTGGCTTTAAACCATGATCCTCAGATCTCAGACTCCTGGGTAGCTAGGATTCCAGGCATGAACCACAGTTTAAAGGTTTTACACACACACACACACACACACACACACATACACACACACACACACACACACACTTCAAGGTTCAAAATGGAAGAACATCATCTTTTTGAACTTATAATCTTCCTGTCTTTGCCTCTGTCTTCTTATGCTACCTGCTTACCTTTCTTTTCTGAATTTGATATATTTGGAAGAGCATTCGATGAGAGTACCTAATTTTTGATAGCATTATTCTATTTCACGGAGTGGATCTTACGTTATCTCTCTAGTCTATTATTGATAAATAATGAGCTTTTTCTATCGTTGCCATTTGAGATAATGTTGCAGTGACAGGGAAGGTAGAAGGTTCTGGTGGAAGCTGGATGCTGGTGGCGTATGCTTGTAATCCTAACTACTCAGGAGGTAGACATCAGGAGGATCAGGGCGGGTGCCAGCCTAGAATAGCTGGGTACGCTTGCATGTACCTGTTACCCTAGCAATTTGTGGGAGGCTGAGTCGGGGTGGGGGGGAGGGAGGATCATAGTTATAGGCCAGCCCAGCTTCCCCTCCCATCCCCCTCTCCCCCCCAAACAGTGCTAGTCAGCGTGGTGCATGCCTGTCAGATAAATCTGGCAGACTGGGGCCAAAAATGAGACCATGATCACACACACAGCTACCGCAAGGAGAAGGGAAGGGAAAGGAAATAGCTTGAGTCCCGGCTCAAGCTGTAGAGCACCTACTTAACAAGGCACCTGGAGTTCAAACCCCAATATCGCCCCTTCCTTCCCCCCCCCTCCTCCCCAAAACCTACAAGAATAGATTTGTTTTTTGGGGGTGAACTGGGGATTGATATGCAGTGCCCGGCCATGGAGCTACAGCCTCAGTCCGAGTGGCTTCTGTGGACAGCTTTTCCAGGCGGGACCACTCACTGCCTCTGAAATGCCCTTACAACCCATGTCCCATGTCTCCCTGGAACATCTCCCGGTGTTGTGTGGATGACCCTCTCCCCCT